ACACATTTATATAGATATGTGTGTACATGTATGTATACAGATATATCGATATATCTAAACAGATCAATTTACATATATACACATATATATATACATCTATACATATATATACAGATCAACCCATATATATATATATATATATATATATATATATCCATATATAGACGTTTAACAGTGTATATATATGTATACCAGTGTATGTGTGTATATATATATATGTGTGTATGTATATATGTATGTGCAATTACGCGCTATGCGTACCATCTCTCCTCACCTTGCGTTGCTCTGCATCCTGAACCGTCAACATGTCTATGCTACATGGGTCCTGTGTTCCCTCTACTGCTCGCCCCCCTCCCTCCCTCTTTCTACAGAGTGTTTTTTTTCGATTCTCCACTGTCAAAAATGCTTATTTTACGGATGCTCTCTGATCCCCCATCTCTGTACGCATTGTGTTGTTCAATGCTCCAAAGTATTGTTACGTTCTGGGTTATCGCTCTCTGCGTCCCATACGCATTGGAACACCCTACGGTATCTTCGCCTTGGAACACTCGCTTGGCTGTCTACACCCAGCACAAGACCTAACGTTGACGACACTCTGCACAGAGGAAACAAGAAAACGGCCTAAACATAAACTTTCGAAGCTCCGCGCGGATTCCCTGGATCGGCGCAGGACCCCCTCCCTGGCGCGCGGAACAGGCCAGCAGCGGCGCCGGAGGCGCCGCCGGGGGGGGGTCTGGCGCAGATCCAGGAAACCGGCGCGGAGCTCCAAAACATGCCGTCTTACGTCCTCGACTGGTACCTCCACACTCTGCACTCTGCTCGCATCTCCGGCGCTGGGGCGAGGAGCAGGAGGACAGGACAGGACAGGACAGGACATCCGCATGAGGAGGTCAACGTCGAAACGCCCGCTAAGGAGCCGTGAGGCACGACTTGCAAAATACCCTGCGAGTAAAATTTGCCGCAGACCCAGACTTCTCATGGGGCCGGCAGGGGGCGTACCCCGATGCTCTAAGGAGCGAGCTCCGAGGAGGCCCCGTAAGAAAGGCTCGCTACCTTGCGAGTGCGAGTCCCTACAGGTCAGCGCGGAGGGAGCAGCTGCTGGCGCTCTCGCGTGCCCACTCCTTGAGGAGGAGAAGGAGGAGGAGGAGGAGGAGGAGGAGGAGGAGAAGGAGGAGGAGGAGGAGGAGGAGGACGCTGCGCGGTGGCTCCCGGGCCTGGATGTCCCCAAGGGGCCCTGGCCGCCTGGCCGTGCCAGACCGCGCTCTCTTGGGCTGGGCGGTATATGCCACCCAGCGCGAAGCCCTCCTCGGCTTGCGCCGCCAGCCTCTACTCGGCGGCGAGCGAAGGGGGGGAAGTGAGAAGGAGAAGGCCTTTGCAGAAAGTTCGGAAGTCCCCCGGCCATTCTGAGAAGTGCTCTCGGCCGTCCCCGAAGGCCAGCAGAAGCCTTCTCGGAAGGCGTGAGGCCTTCTGAGAAGCCCAGCCTTCTGGGGAGGCCTTCTCCTTCTCGTTTCCTCCCCTCGCTCGCCGCCGACCTGCGAGACACCAGTCTCAATGCACCCCCCGCGGCCGGGAGCCCACGAGCGGACGAGCCGCTGCCAGATGCCGCGGGGGGCGGCCCAAGAGGCGGGGGCGACAGGCGGGCGCGCGGGAGCGCGCGGGCCCCCGGGAGAGGGCTGGGCAAAACGGGGCGGGCACAGCCGGGCACAGCCGCACCCCCGCGCGAGGTCCACGAGCTCCTCCTCGTGCTCTGGCCACCCTCGGCGAGCGAGGGAGGGGGGGAAGTGAGAAGGAGAGGGCCCTCTCAGAAGGCTGCGAGGCGTTTCAGAAGCGCCCGCGCCCTCTGCGAAATGCCCTGCATCCTCGGGAGAGGCTCAGAAAACGTCTGGGAAGGCCGGGGGACTTCCGAGCCTGCTGAGAAGGCCTGCCCCTGCTCACTTCCCCCCCTCGCTCGCCGCCGACACCCCCCCCTCGGGGCCGCCGTGCAAGGCTGCAGCCGACAGCGCTGCTGGCCCCCAATGGCCTTTGAGCCCGTTTTCCTCCTCCTCCTCCCCCTCCTCTCTTCCTCCTCCTCCTCCTCCTCCTCCTCCTCCTCCTGCCTCCTCCTCCTCCTCCTCCTCCTCCGCCTCCTCCTCCTCCTCCTCCTCCTCCTCCTCCTCCTTCCTCCTCCTCCTCCTCCTCCTCCGCCTCCTCCTCCTCCTCCTCCTCCTCCGCCTCCTCCTCTCCTCCTCCTCTCCTCCTCCGCCTCCTCCTCCTCCGTCCTCCTCCTCCTCCTCATCCTCCTCCCTCCTCCTCCCTCTCCTCCCTCCTCCTCCTCCTCCTCCTCCTCCTCCTCCCTCCTCCCAGCCTCCTCCTCCTCCTACTCCTCCTCCTCCTTCCTCCTCCTCCTCCCCTCCTCCTCGCCTCCTCCTCCTCCTCCTCCTCCTCCTCTCCTCCTCCTCCTCCTCCTCCTCCTCCTCCTCCTCCTCCTCCTCCTCCTCCTCCTCCTCCTCCTCCTCCTCCTCTTCCTCGAAGAAGGAGGGACGGACGGAACACCGTCGCGCATCGAGGCGCTGCGTCGTTGCAGGAAATGCCCGTCCTCCAGAGTCTGCCCCGGCGGGACGACGCTGGCGGAAGGCCCTGCGGCCTCGAAGAGTCCCGCAGCGCTGCCGGGGCTCTTCGCCTTCGCGGCTGGAGGCCTGCTGGCACACGAGAGGGGTACTGTGACTACCTACCAAGCCACCCCAACCCAACCCGAAGACCCGAATTTGACCCGAATTTCGGGTTGGGGGGGTACGGGTTCCATGTGTTTTTTCGACGTTCCCCGACCCCCCCCCACTGGAAATGAAAGGCAAATTGAGGCCTTCGGGTTGGGTTGGGGTGGTCTGGTAGGTGGTGATACTGTGTCTGCCCGCACAAGAGAGCCAGCACAAGAGCAGGGGAAGCTGAGCGGGCACACGGCGGAGCAGGCACAGCGAGGCGGACGTAAGGGCGGACACGATAGCAACGCTTGCGCTGACAGGGCAACGAGCTCCTGCAGGCTTCTGCTGCACCTGCGAGCGCGGGAACCCACTTTCGATGTCGGCGCTGCTCGCATGGGCGGAGGGGGCCTGCACTCGACTCGTATCTACACTCTCCGCGCTCACTGGTCTCTCTCTCTCTCTCTCTCTCTCCCTCTCTCCACGGTCCACAGCCTGTGCAACTCGCGCACTTCATGTAGTTCTCACACTCCACACCCTCTACATCTGCCACACCCTCAGCATGACTTCACAACCTCTGCACACCGATAAATTCGGTCACTCTCCACATTTTATGACTGTCTACACTCTCTACGCGAAACGTGGACTCAAGAACCCAGACACGCAAAACAAACGAACAAACGAACGCCACTACAGCGAAAGCTGCCCCAATGACGGGGATGCGCGTATAGCGCCGCAGCGCTCGGCGCGTCTTCTCGACGAACGCAAGACGGGAATCCCAGAACCCGGTCGCCCCCGAAATCGGCGGCAAACTTCCCGCCGAATTCGCACGATCTCCGCCAGGGCCCCTCCAGCGCGAGCACGAACAGCAGGAAACCACCCTCAGAGCGACCGCCGCGCAGCTCCTCCCCTATGGCCGGCCCCGCGCCTCCATCCGGAGGCGGTTCTCCTCCACCCACAGCATCGCGCCCATCCTGCCGTTGCCGACGAAAGCGGACTCCTCCAGGGGGGCGCAGCGAGGCACGAGCAGCAGCGGAGGACAAGCCAGACCATGGGACAGCGAGCGACCACAATCACATCGAGGACACACCCTGGGGGACGTCTTGCGCATGCCAAGCATCATCAGAACACCGCAACCTGCTTGGTACTGGTTGTTGCCGATGTGGGATCCCAGGAGGGCCACATCAACCACAACCACAACCACAACCACAACCGGTCGGCGGGTTCTCCCCCGAGAGGCCCTCCAGGAAAATCCGCTTGGTTGTGGTTGTGGTTCTCGGTTGCGCCTTGAAACGGGTCCTCGACGTCCGTTCAGCGCGGCTTGCAAAGCTGGATGGTGCAGTCTGGGCCACCGTCGCGAAGTGCCGCATGCTTGTCACACCTGCTGTCGGTGACGGGCCCCAAATCGGGGCCAGCGGAGGGCGGAAAGGGGGAATCGGCCCTACCTGGCTCCCAAACCCGTGTCAGCCAGAGGGGATTTGCTGACCCATGTTAGCGCTGACCCCCGTCTCGCGAGCCCCGACAAGGCTGGGAGGGCCCAGCCCCAGGACCGAGGAAACCAGGCTGGCGGGTCATCGGAGCACTCCTCCCATGCCGGGCCGCCCGCGCTGGCACCCGCCCGATCCTTCCAGCTGGTCGGCATGTCCTTGAGCGTCCACTGGAGGTCGTGGCCTCGAGCCAGGGGAGGGTTGGGGCTCCCTCCTAAGGGAGCGACAGGAGGGATGAGCTCTGGGAAGAAGGAGGGTGTTCGCCACACCACGCGATGAGATAAATCCCGACGGGAAGGACTGTGGCAGTGGGGAGGAGCAGCAGCAGCGAACAGGAACCCGAGCAGGCGAAAGAGGAGGAGGAGGAGCAGGAGGAGGAGGAGGAGGAGGAGGGGG